ACAATTAAGATCAAATCCTGCTGGTGTTGTGGATGAAAAACATAAAGTTATCTAAAATGATCATATTCTAATGGTCACCCCTTCTGCTTGGCGTTTCTAGATATTCTGCTTCAAGCTCATATCATATAGTCACCAGTTTCTGCTAACAGAAACTTTTATTGTTGCTACTGCTGACAAAGAGCCAGCTGATAGATTTCAGAGGAGCAGGTCAAAATTTGAACATGTATGTGAGACCAAACTCGCGCTGCATGACGTGTCTCCTTGTCCAGCACAGAGGACAGTGATGAGAGACAGACAGACAAGGGTCTGCTGTTGGTCCATTTTAATGACTCTACCAGTGAAAATATGCAGACCTGCTTCTGCTCCTGTCATCAGGGCCTCCGAGGCCGACATTTACCCCCGTCTGCTTCCTTTCTGTCTATAAAATATGTACGTATGTAATCCTGTAGCAGAAGACTGAGGCAGCATTTGCATGCCTCAGTCTTCAGCTCTTAAAACCATTATATAATCCAGCTTTCTTCTAATCTAACAGGGCAATGACAACATTGAGATGCTGGTAGGATTCTTCATATTTCCACTGAAAAAGGTAGTCCACCTCTTCATTTGATCTAATTGGCAGGTATAATCCACAAGATGACACCGTCCTCTTTGTAAACCACAAACTCTTCAGGAATGTGAGCAATAAAATGCTCATTCATTTCTTTTGCTCAATCTGTGGTTGAGCAAAAGATTGCTTTTGCTCAACCACAAAAAAAAACACTAAAAAAAAAAATAACATTTGGGAAACCATCAGTCTGTGTCCTTTTCAACCCAAAGATTCTCACCCACTTCTTTTGGACTGAGCGTTTAAAAGATACTAGATTCTCCGTGGAACTACAGAAAGCGAATGGACTTAAAAAAAAAAAGCTTTAAATAAAGAAAAACAAAAAGCAAGAAAAAGAAACATACTCTCAATTGTGACTGGAGGTGATGAGAAACAAACAGACTGTCAGTGCGATTAAAGCCCCGTTCTGTCTCAGATGTCTCTAATGAATTCAGTAAATCTGCTTGAAGCAGTGAGCAACTGTTTTGACCATGGTAATTACTTGTGCATTAGTTTTTCATGCTCACCTGACCATGTCAATGAAAGCTCACATGCTCTTTAGACACAAAGAAAGTACGCTGCTAAGACAAGCTGTTTTTACAGCAGCGTTTTCCACCTCTGTACTACAAAAATTACATAAATTATTATCGTGATTTTACCCCTGAGCATTGTTTTGATGCTTCAGCTGCCTCTGGACTCTCAGCGCTAATTCAGACTTGATGGCATGCATGCAGTTAAAACATAATTATTCACTGTACCATGTAGTCATCGTTTGTTCCTTTACTTAGCCTGGGAACTAAAGAAAGCCAGAAAATACAGAGGTGCAGAAACAGGTCATCTCTTCTCCCCTGGGTTTTCTTTTCCTTCTAATTCACACAGTGATGTCACCTAACGATTTGTGGGAAAACATCACGGTGGAAGCATTACAGAACCTCTGAAAGAAAGTACTTAAACTGTGTGTCTTTGCTTGTTTCTTCCTGCACGCATCAAACATACCGAAAACACTTCAGGTGGCATCTTTGACAGAGAATTATTAGCTGGTTTTGTAGCCTCTCCAGCTTTGCAGAGGAGCCTTTCAGCTCAGTGCTTCAGTATTTTAGCCTGCAGCTGTTTGATCTACTGTACGCATGGTCTAATGTGGTTTCTGGCAGAAATGGTCAGATGTTTCTGATAAAAGAATACCTTGTATAACTAACTGCAGACCATATGCTTATCACCAAACACCAGCCAAAGTCAGAAGCTGGGTAGGCACAATGGAGCGATTAGCTGCTAAAGAGTCAGATAGTTCCCAGGAGAGAGTGTGCGGATTTTATACCAAAGAAAATAGAATTTGAATGAATACATGGTGGAAATGGCCTGAACATTTTTCCCAGCTGCATTTTGCAGATAAAAAGAGGCCTAAATGTAGAGATTAAAGTTTTGTGGCAAACATCAAATCTTCAGTTAATGTGACCTGCAGATACCAGATTTAGCTTATTGCAGTTTCTCTTTAGGAACTGTAATAAACAAAGAAAGAAGAACAGCATGTGCTTATTTATCTTTGAAGCAGAGGTGACATACTGACAGGAGTGAGCAAATCAAACTTTCACAAACATATTAAAATAAAGACCAAAATGATTGTAGAGTTGACATTTTAAACGGTCATTTTAAAACAGCAATTAGCACAGTAAGAACATACACCTACGTCTATATGAATGGAAACAGAGTTTTACAGACCAAAAAAAAAAAAAAAAAAAAGTATTTCTTCAATAACAAGCTGATTAAACCTCACATTTTCATGGTGGTTAGGGACCCCAGCTAGCCCCGAATACCTAAACTCTGCGAACACTTGAAATACTTATAACTATGTATTTTAGTTGTTCAAACACCAAACATATCTAAATAGGCATTAACGCGCACAGAGAAAACCATCTTAGCGCTGCTGCTGAAGCTACACTACAGTCTTCCTCATCTCCGCTGTCGCGGGTACAACCAATCAACGCCAAGGAAAATGAATGGGGCTCGTGGATTGGCTGCTTTGCAAACGCCAGCCAATAGCGTGTTAAGTAGCAGTGCGCCTAGGTATTTTCAGCTTCCAAAGATGCATTTTCTTTTGAATATTTTGCTCTATAAAAATCTCCATGAAGAGGCAAATGTGCAATTAGTAATTTTTGAGTTATGTTGCACCGAAAAATCTGAGCATAGGTGAATCAGCAAATACTAAGGCATACTTTTCTTAAAGCTTGAAAATAGGAGATAATCAACAAAATAATCTCCCCAGATCCTGTTGAACTTCCTTGCTTTTTTATTTTTATTTTTTTATTTTTTTTTTATTTTACTTATTTGTCATATAACATTAGTTTCAGACACTGTAATTTGCTGGAGCAACTTCCTTTGATCCTCCATTTGCCCTCTTTTTTATTTTAATTGCACACTGTGCACAAAACATATGCTGCCAAAGTCCAGACAGAAAATCAACCAAACTCCTTTTTAAAAATTTAGGAACTCCTGGTGAAATATCAATCAAGTTCAGGAAAAAAAAATGCTGGCTTCTTTAAAGCAAAATTAAAAGCAATTTAGAATAGCTTAAAGCTTTAAGACAATACTCTGCCCATTTACGTTTTTCCTAAAATATGTCTCCTTTTGAGCTGGAACTGGATCTGAGTTTAAGAGGTAAAAATCATCAGCAAATTACACCAAAGTTTAAACCAACACATGACAAGAAAAACTGTAGACACAGCTGTACTTTAATTTCTCCTTGGAACCCAGGAGCACAAATGTAATGTGTGTGAAACTAATGTGACCAAAAAAAAAAAGAATCAAGTCTATTCAATTATTAACATAGCTAATAGTGTTACCTTTGTTCAAATCATTTTCAACGATGTATTTTGTAATTATCACCTCTCAACAGAAAACTGAGGGGTTTTTTTATAAATGTGTGATAAGTTTTTTATTAGAAGTATTGCTTTTCAAGCAGATTAATTGAACTGATGGGAAGATTGGAATTAGAGAAAATCCACTGATCTTTTAACCTCTCCGACTCATGGCCTGTTTTTGAGAAATATGGCTGAAAATAACACGCCCAAAATGAATTGAATGTATCTCAAGAACTACAGAGTTTATTTTTAATTGTTTTTGTATCAAAATAAAGGCAAGACCCTAGAGAATATGGTACAGCTCTAAAAAAACACCCTGCCTGTTACTGAGGAAAGTGAATTAATATGATACACAGCAGAAATTAAGCAAAATATCTATTTCCGCCTAAAAAAAAATACAGTTCAATATAGGAAGATTCCTTTCAAAGCATGCAGATGAAATCTAAAACATGTAGTAAACAACACTACACAATCTGACCTTTTACTGTGCCAAGTTTCATTAAAAAAATTAATCATAAGAGTTCTAGAGAGGCAATACTTGATGAAAATCTAGGCGAACCTTCCAAATTAGCCATTTTGGCACAATTTGTGCCATTTGAACTTTCTCAGGTTTTTTTCTGTAGAATCTGTTTCAATCATTTATTCTTATCATAGAATAAATGATTACTTGTCATAGATAAGTAATTACATCTAATAATTGTTTTTGGGGTTTCCTTTGAAAAATCCACATTGCATTCATTCATAAAAAGAGAAAAAATAGACAAATTGCAATAGTCTGAAAATGGAACAGATTTACTCACAACAACAATTATGTCAGAGTTGACACCTATTAAACACAGCAAATAACACAGAAAAGACAAGAGAAAGTTAGATTCTCATTACTCGCGAGGAGAACAGACAGAGATGTGCTTTCAGTTACAAATCTCCTACTGCTCTGAAGCACATTTGCCTGCCCCTCTCTTTTTATATTGTCTTTAGGATCCCTAATCACAGAGAGCGCTGTAACTCTAAAGGGAGGGGAATAACACTTCATCACACAGTCACAGCGCCAAGATTATCACTAACTAACAACACAATCTATCTCACACTAGCTTATCTAGTTCCTGACCCAGGATCAAACAGGACAAGTTGTGAATCTTCATAGCGATGGTTTTATAGCTATCTAAGAGGTCAAAGTAGGGCGTTCTGTGAAGAGCTGATGTCACTGCTCTTCTTCAGAGAGGCCCTCTGAGAAAGGAAAGCAGAGTGATTAACAACACAGAAACATTTCTTAAAAGGTATGATTAAAACAAATAATACTTAAACTAAGAACATATAAAACAAATAGTTGATAATAATATAATTTACCTAACAATTTCAAATACATTTATATAACAATGAACATGCAAATAGCAATGAAAACTAATTTGTTAAATGATATGATCACAGGAAGAAACCGATATCTCACAATTACATTACAATAACAATGCAACAGCAATAGGGCTTTTTTTTTCTTTTTTGTGGCTCTAGTGGCTTTTGTTTGACTATAAACATATGGAAAGTGGGGGAAAGAGGAGGAAGACATGCAGCAAAGGTCAACATGTTGACACAGCCATGTCGAGGACTAAAGCCTCCATATATTGGTTGCACACTCCATATCTCTGCCACTGACACACCCTTTTGAACTAACAAAAACAAACCCTCACTGTGACAGCACAGTTGTAAACAACAATTACTCATAACCTATTGCCTATTGATAAGAACATCATCTTCATTTACATATTTACATCATACCACTCATCATTTAGCATCATGCCACTCTTTGAAGCAGTTTCTTGTGGATGAAAGGCACAGAGGGACTTGGCACCTCCTGCAATAAATGGGTGTCTTCACCCTTGCAAAGCCAGCATCCTTGCATCTCCTGCAGTACTTCCGGGTTTGATTGTCGTCAGCACTTTCATAAAATTCTGGCATGCATGTCAGTGGTTGAGGTGGTGGTGAGGATGGTGTTGAGCACTCCGCAAACTCAAGCATTTCTTCAGCAAGCTGCTCTTTGAACTTTTTGTGGTCGGCTGTACCGGTGGAGGCAGGATCCTTTCTCAGTTTCAAGAGCTCCTTGTAGAGGATGAAACTATTTACTGTTGCAATGTCCATAAAATGGTAGAAAAATTTTTTGTACCATTTCATGGACTTTTGCTGTACACTGTAATAGCTGATTAGTGCATCGGACAAATCCACACCACCCATGTGTTTATTGTAATCGATGACAGAATCAGGAGCAGGTATGCTTTTAGTCTGCCACACACCACCACTTTTTACCCTCCGCTGGATAGTTTTTCCACTGAAAGCTGTGTGGACTGTGGAGCACATAGTCACCTCGCGTGTGTCCATCCACTTCACAAAAAGTAGGTTACCTCTCCTCAGCCACCGTATATCTCCCCTCTCAGCCTTTTTGGGCAGGTCGTTATTGGTGGTTTGTGGAAAACCAACACAGGTTTTTCTTATTGTTCCACAACAGCCGATGTTTTTACTACTCAGATCTTTAAAAAGTGTGGGGCTGGTGTAGAAATGATCAACAAACAGCATATACCCTTTGCCAAGCAAAGAGAACGGAAGGAGGTCCATCACTGAAGAGTACCTCAGGCCCTGCCCTGTGGTGGAGAGATTTTTACCGGTGTAAATAAAAAAATTCCAGGTGTAGCCTGTGGAGGAGTCTGCCAAAACAAAAAGCTTGTAGCCCCACTTTGTTGGCTTGTCCTTCTGATACCGTTTCATGCTATTACGGGCTTTGGACGCAACCATCTGTTCATCAATGGAGATTTTCTGGCGTGGCTGGAAGTAGGTCTGGCAGGCGGTCACAATATCGGTGTACAGTGGCTTGATCTTGAAAAGCCTGTCATACTCTGACGTGTTCTTTTTCTTCTCATTCTCCTCATCTTCTTGAGGATTGCTCAGATGAAGAGACCACAAGATGGATTCAAAACGACACCGTGTCATCTTATCTCCAGGGAAGGAGAAGTTATATGGCCATGACTTTCTCCAGTAATCTGATGCATGATGCACCCTCACGAGACTGGTGAAAATGATGATCGCCATGAAAATGTAAAAATCTTTCACTGTTAGCTCCTTCCAAATGAACTTTCTTCCAGCCCTTAGTCTTCTAGCAGCATTGGCATTGGTGTTGTCAATCAATGCACAGACTACAGAAGAACTAAAGAAAAGCTGGAAGAGGCTGAGTGGAGACCAGGAAGATGTGGTGTCAAAAGTGGGCCCGGGCATCCTGGCTGGCACAAACCTGAGTGGTTGTGGCTTTTGGTCTTCATCCTCTCTATTGTGCCATTGTTCTTCTGGTCCTGAATCACTCCGATGCCGCTTCGGACGCACAGATGTGTGAGGGGCTTTTTGTTTCCTTTTTTTCTGTGTATCTTTACACTGAAAAAGGTCTGGATGTGGCTGTGCAGGGGAAGCAGAAGAACATGGCCCCACTCGAGATGTACTGGAGGATGCTTGTCCAGATAGCTGTGGATCCTCCTCATCATCACCATCATCACTATAAAATCACATGTGGAAAAGAAATAAAAACTCAAGGATTCAAAGATTTTTATTGTCATACTACATTTGTTTGCTTGTGGTACAAAATTCAGCCTTGGGTCCCAGATTAACAAAATTACACAAATAACATAAATAATTAAGAAAATTATGTGATATAAAAATATGCTTATTCATAAAAATTCTAACAAAAAAATGTATCATGTTGTGATTTTGGTTTCTCATTTCAAGTATTCCTTTTCAGTTGTAATAGTACAATTTAATAAATTATCATTTGCTTCAAGTATCATCTCCCAGTTTTACCCCACAAAAAGTTTGATGGGCATAGCATATATACTATGAATTGTACAAAAATAAACAAAGATATAGCAAAATGGATTACAAACCTCACTGAAGTTGGAATTTCAAAATCTGGATCACTTGTATTTCCATATGAATACACTAAATCTTCCTCATCAGACGAAGAGTCGATAGGAAAGAGGTTAGCACTGTTATCAGTGGTCAATATATCCAGCACCCCCTCAGCTGTGAAAACCTTCTTCATTTTGCTGGCCATTATTTTCTCGGATGTAAAAAAAAAATTGAAAAAATATTTTTTCTCGTCTGAAAAAAATAATCCTTTATGGAGTTTGATGACAAAAAAAGTCAAAAGCACCGCGAAAAAAAATCCTCCTGGATCCGTCTGTGTCCGAATTCAGGGTCTGCATCCTTCCAAGGACGGATTTGTAGGCCAATTACGTCATAGCGTGGCGACAAGGCCCGTCCGAATTCAAAGACTCCTTCAAATGCGTCCATCACATGCGTCCTTCTTTTCCCCAGATTTGAAGGATGGGTCCGGTGTATCCTTCACGGCCCACGATATCCCATAATTCATTGCGGGTTCCAACTGGGCATTCAGCAGCAGGGCCGAGCGCAAATCGTGACACCGCACCTACTAATGGCACTTCCGGTGGCAGGTGTGACACCCATAGACATCGCCTCTAGATTTTGTTTATGGTAGCTAGGAGACGGAAGAGGCTCTGGGCAGAGCCGAAAACAATGTGAGATGGACGCAGGGAATATGGATTATCGAACCAAGTGGAAATATTTACTCTAATAAGGATTATGACCATGAAACAGCAAAGGTAGGACTGGATTATGCTTTTAGCTTCGTGAAATTAACTATTTATTTTTTTCTTCTTTAGCTGCTGGTTCAGTGAGTTTTGCACGTAGCGTGGTGACTCTGGTATTGTTGGAAACGGCAGAGCTTCGGCTTTACTCTGATCGATAGTTTGTGAGGATCGGGCCACCTAGCTCTTTCACTGTTGCGTTTTTTACCGGGTATGCCTCGTTAGCATCTAATTACGTTTCTTTTTATCAAGCTGCTTCGTGTTCAGGCTGGGTGTTGTTGAGGTAGAAAATATTGTTTCTGTCATTTAGAAGAGCTTTTTCCCGATCTGTGGATATGCAATATGCCTATATTGATAAATGTATAGTATGTGTTTTCAGGTCAATCTATTAACACTTGCCTTTGTAATGTGGAGACCATGATAATTCCTCTTTTATGCCACAAACCATCTAATAATCATTTGATGCCACAGTTCTATAAGGGGAGGTGATAAAAAATCTCACGGTGCAAAAACAAAGACCTTGTGGCTAGTAGTTGAGAGAGGAGGGAGTGGTAGCAGAGGCAGAGAGGTATAAAAGCAACGGAGGAGGAGGAAGATTTTCAAGTAGAACAAGGAACCACAAGGGAAGGAGAGTAGAGTGAAAGGGAAATTTCAGAAAAAAGTTTAGAGAAGACTTTCCAGTTCAAAATATACAACTAGAAGCTCTTAAGCAAGTTTTCATTTTCAAAGCAGGTAAGAAAATATACTACTTTATTTTCTGTGTTCTGATTAATCTGATGGATTAAACTGCAGAGAAGTCAGATTATCACCATGTTGAAAGTGCTAAAAGGAACCTACTGCAAAAAATATGTAAAAAGTAATAAGTATTAATAGCATCTTCTGTAATATAAACTGTGAACATTTTGTAAATCACAATCCTAGGCTAATGTCTGACAAGCACATTTGCGTTGTTTCCTTATTTCCCTCTTTCAGCTTCATATGTAATTATTGTAATTGCATATGTAATTATCCACTGAAAAAACGTTAGAAATGAAGAAGCTACAACATGGTTGTTAATGTCCAGTTTGTCCTCCTTTTAAGTCAGCCCTTTTGTGTTTGTGTGTGGGTGTTTGGGTTGTGTGGCCAGATTTCGACAGTGGATGCAGATATGTTTGAGTGTTCCCCTGACAAATGGTGATGGCTAACACAGATGTGTAATCTGAGAGCACAGCTCTGTCCATCCAAGGTTTTATTTTTTACTTTAAAGCTCAAAGAAGAACGCTGCATTTACTGCTTTGTTTTACCAGAAACAAACTATTGTTTTTATAAATGTAATGAAGTGTGCTACCCGTTTTATGTTTTAATGCAATATTATTATCAACCTCACTCTTTTATAGGGATGTACAGTATGTGCTGAACAGTCATAACATGGAACATATTTTAACTTAATCATTCCTCCAGGTGGTTTTGCTGCCAAACATTGACTTTTTTGTGGACTTACGCATACCAGAGGAGAAAGACTGGAGGGTCCAGTGTGGCGGCAGAGTGTGAAAATGTCACATAGGTCTCTTCTCATCTTTCTGGGAATAACTGCAGCCACTGTTCTTACAGTTCAAGGTGTGACACTTAACGTTTTGTTTTATTTTGTCTCTCCAATTCATGTTTAAATGTCTTCTTTAAATTCACATATACAGAACTGCTGAAAACACCCGGCATTTCTTAGAATTTTGCAAGATTGCAATAATTCAAAGTGGTTTTTCTTAATGTCCCTTTGGCCTTTCTAAGGGGTTTTCTTTAGACTTTGGTTACATCAGCAATCATTTTCTGTACTGCTTTTATACCCAAATATGACTGTATCAACAGCAGACAAAAATATCTAAGGTTTAGAAATTTCACAAATGACAAATGACATTTCCAGCTTCGATTTCCAAAGCAAACTGAAAGCAACAGTTTAGTTGTTTAATAGAACAATGAAATAGTTTTCCTGTTTGTATGAAGAGTGAGCATTTTTGTAGCATTAACAATTTTTTAAGTGATTTTCAACAAATATTATCACTAGTTATTGAATGTCAGGACAAGCCTAAACAAAGAAGGTCCTTTTGTAACCTGTGCAGCTAATTCTGATTGCCTACTCGAAGATGTGTCTAAACCTCATTGGGCCATCATTGTCTGCAGCATCGGCATGACCAAACATTGGTGTTGGTGTCCATACATTTTTTTACCAGCTGGTAGCCCTGGCATATTTAACTCTCTCTCTCCCTTTTTCCTTGCCACAGCAGTACATTTTATTTGTGAGTCTCAACATAGCAGAGATTTATATATCCTGGCTCACACATCACATCGCTAACTTTAAACAATGGATTAGATTACCTTTAATATTTGTGAATAACTAACATCAAATATTGTTTTAGAACAGCTTACCTGGTATGTTTTTTTTAACACTCCTTACACAAAGGTATTAATCACTCACACTCATCTATACTGTGCAGGATCATGGAGAGGAGACAACAAAGAGTCTAATCCTGCAGTCTACCACTCCAATGGTGGGTTAATAAAAAAAAACTAACCTGAAGTTTTAAACTGTGTATTGTTGGTTTGATGTATTGTTAAACTATGATAGATAAGCTAAACATATCTTTCTTTCTGTAAACTCCACATGTCTAGACAACTTTGAGTGGACCACATGGTTCAACGTTGACCACCCAGGAGGCCGAGGAGACTACGAGCAGCTGGACGCCATTCGCTTCTATTACCGTACCAGAGTGTGTGAGACTCCGCGCGCAATTGAAGCTAGAACCACCGAATGGGTACCAGCCCGGGAAACTGGGGAGGTGGTGCACGCAGATCCAACTGTAGGATTCTGGTGTCTCAATGAAGAGCAAAGTCCTGGAAGCAACTGCTCAAACTACGCAGTTCGCTTTCTCTGTCCAAAAGGTTTGCACACTTAGAAACTAAAGACTTTAAACATTTTATTTTATTGTGGGTTTTTTTTCCCCCTATTACATATAGCAATAATAATATTAGTTGAACAATAATTTGCGTAATTTTATTTTACCAGAAAGAAGTGTAAACACTCAGGGAACCTGGGGTTTATGGTCAAACTGGAGCCCATGTCCTGCTCTCTGCGGTCAAGTAGGTGTGCAGCTTCGCCATCGAAACTGCAAGTCTCAATCAGTAACTTGCAATGGGCCTAAAATAGAGGGAAAACCATGCAACGGACCTGAGTGCGTCAAGACGGGTAATAGAGTCACACAAACCATCCTGCAAATGTCTTCACTTGGACATAAACTAATGTGAGAGGAGCTAATGTTTGTGTTTGCTCTCCTTTCTAGATTGTTACCTGCACTGCGTGATTGGGAGAGTGAATGCTGACTGTGATGCTTGCATGTGTGAAGAGCACGTCCTTTTGGGATCTGTGCGAAGCGCCGGTGGTCTGATTGCTGAGGGAGCAGCAATCCTTCGCTCAGGCAAACTCCTCACCCTCACAGACCACAATGGACACTTTAGAGTTCCTGGAATATGCCCAGATGGCAACACAACACTGACAGTCAGCCTGCTGGGTCACGCAACTCTTGATGTTGTTGTGCCCCTCACCACTGAGCGGACCTCAGTTCTCAGTGTGCAGCTGAAGAGAGCAGGTGTGGATTGTATAGTCGAACAAGTCCTTTATTGCATAAAGATGAAATCAGATTTATATAAAACATATAGGAAAGTTACGTTCTCCCTTTCTGACACGAAATCTGACACTTATGCTTTAGGTTACTAATGTTTACGAATGTTATTTCTGGTTGCCCAGTGTCAGAATAATGACAAATATTTTTTGCTTTTTTCATATATATTAGATTACACACACTCTTATTCCTATTTCTTTTTAAAAATGTAATTGAGGCACACCTGTGAATGCATTTCAAGGGAACACTTTAACGGTTTCCTTTGGTGATTTATTTTGGAGAAAAAAAATAATCAACTAAGATATCAGGATAAAAACTGTGGCCCTCCACAAGTCTGATTCATTCTTCTGTAAAATCTGTTGAAAAATGCAAGTATTAACACTGCGGTGAATGTCTATATGTCCATACCATTCAGAAAGTAGATAGGTTCTGTGACCCTGAGATGTATGTATTTTGGTGCAAACTGTGCATAAAAAACAGAACAAAAGCAAAAGGGCTTGTGAACGCTCATACTGAATCTGTTAAGACAGCGTTATGATTCATACGTTCTGTATCGAGATGGTAGGAAAAGCCAGTCAGTGAGCAGGAAGTCATTAATGGTAAATGATACATAGCCTGTACTTATATACCACTTCAGCTGGTCCAAAGAACCCAAAAACGCTTTACGTACATTTAATCATTCACCCATTCACATTCAGATTCACACACTGACTGCGGTTATCTACATTGTAGCCACAGTTACCCTGGGGCAGATTGAGAGAAGTGGGAACTCTCACTACCACCAGCAACGAAGGCAGGTGAAGTGTCTTGCCCACAGACACGGCGACTGAGATCACAATTACCCCAAAAGCAACATGTATGGACAGAAGGGAGTTTGCAAATGCACTCAGGAAAACAAAATATAATTTCCCTGTGCTTTGGAGACACTAACCTAAGTCTGGCCAAAATTATCACTGTTGTATTTGAAGGAAACAGGGAAAAAGGTCCAAGCCTGAGAAAAACGACCCTAAATATGAAGAAGTACAGGGTTGGCAGCAACACATTCTGTGGGTGTTCTGCAGCACAAAGGATGAGCGCACTTCAAAAAAATAGATGGCATCTTGAGAAAAACATTATAAAACATTACGTGGAAATACTAAAGCAACTTTTGAAAGTGGGAAATGTTGAAAAAAAAGGATCTTACTCCTTATTCTGATAAACACAAAAGATTTAATTATTCCTTACTAAATGTCAGACAAGGAGAAAAAAAAAAAGCTACATATATTGTAACTGTTTGTATACTGCCACTGAAATTTAAATAAGCCATGGAACATTTCTACTTCTTTTTTTTTTTTTTTTTTTTTCCAGAAAAGCTTCATGTCTTAAGCAACCAAGAGAATAAAGCCAGGAGAGAAGGACAAAGTGCTGCCTTCTGCTGCAAAGTAGCTGGAACACCACAGCCTAACAAGTACCAATGGTAAGAACTCAACTCAGATACACAACTCTAGTTCCTAGGTCCCTGCCCAGGGAACTTTACATAAGATAAAATGTTATTCTCCATAGAAATGGAAATTCTGTTTACATAATCTGTCAGATGCCTCAACACATATCACACAACACCATAAACATGATTATAATAATAATAATAATAATAATAATAATAATAATAAAACAACTAATATGTAATTTAAATTAAGCGAATAGTAACTATGAGCAGTACTATTACACAGGGGGAGCTAAAAACATATTTTTCACAGGTGTAGACATGAGCAAGAAATTAGTCTTGGGTGAAGGTAAATGGGATAGAAATGAAAAGTAATGTTTCTGTCTTCACAAACTACTGTTAGCTTCGCAGCACATCTACTATAGCATTTTTTGCACTAAATTTAAACTTTATCACCTTTTCTATTATTTTTTGCTATTTGCGTGAACCAACAGGTTTCATGACAATATTCTTATGGAAATGCAATCCGAGAGCACGCTGGTCCTGAAAGATTTACATCCAGAGCAAGCTGGAGAGTACTACTGCAGAGCAAGTGGGCCGTCCGGCGCCGTTAAGTCCAAACCTGCCACTCTAAAAATCATAGGTTTGTCCTTGACAAAATAACTGAACAAGCATCGATAGAGTAGGTCTTACGATATTAACATATGTTTTGTCCGTACATTTCATATACAGGTAGAGAGGAGCATTCATGCAACCCCACGCCTGAATCTCACCTCATTCGCCTTCCACATGACTGCTACCAAAACAGCACAAACTCCTTTTACTACGATGTGGGCAAGTGCCCTCCAGGCACATGTGCTGGACAGCTGGACAATGCCATCAGGTGCAAAGACAATGTGGCGTACTGCTGTGGCGTGGCAAAGATGGAAGAGAGACAGCTGACGTGCCAAGGCTACCAGTTGCCCACCATGGTAGTGACAGAGTGTGGCTGTCAGAAATGCGTGGACACCCAGGCTGTTGTTTATGGTCGTGCCATTGCTGCAGACAATGGTGAGCCAATGAGGTTTGGCCACATCTTCATGAATGGAGTCAGAATCAGCCGCACAGGCTACAAAGGCACCTTCTCTGTCCAGGTTCCCCCAGACACTGAAAGACTGGTGTTGACTTTTGTTGACAACATGCAAAAGTTTGTCAATACCACAAAGGTGCTTCCATTTAACACAAAAGGAGGAGCTGTTTACCACGAAATCAAAGTTCTACGAAAGAAAGCTCCTGTGACCATCAGCTCCTCAGAAACTAACACTCTAAATCTCGGGGAGGTGGAAGGCCAGGAAGCGATGGTCCAAATCCAGATTCCCCCTCATTCTTTCTACAAGGAGAACGGAGAAGTCTTTACCGGTAATGTCAATGCAAGTGTTACATTCTTAGACCCGAGAGATGTCACTACTGCTGCTGCTGCTTCAAGTGACCTTAATTTTATAGGAGGCGAAGGTGATATGCTTCCACTGAGAACCTACGGCATGTTTTCAGTTGACTTTAGAGGTGAGGAAAATAATGAGCCTCTAAACGCTGGCGAGGTTAAAGTATTCTTGGACTCGGCTCAGGTGAAGATGTCAGAGCACCTCAGCAACATGAAGCTTTGGTCACTGAACCTTGAAACTGGCCTGTGGGAGGAAGAAGGGAGTCTGCAGCTAGATAAGAGAAGGAGAGGCAAAAGAGAGGAGAGAACATTTTTGATCGGAAACATGGAGATCAGAGAGAGGCGTCTGTTTAATCTCGACGTCCCTGAAAATCGCAGATGCTATGTCAAAGTGAGAGCTTTCCGCAGTGAGCGTTTCATGCCCAGTGAGCAGGTAGAGGGAGTTGTGGTGAGTCTCATAAACATGGAACCAACAGCTGGCTACTCCTCTAATCCTCGTGCCTGGGGTCGTTTTGACAGTGTTGTCACTGGCCCGAATGGAGCTTGTCTTCCAGCCTTCTGTGATGAGCAAAAACCTGATGCTTATTCTGCATATGTGATGGCTAACCTTGGAGGAGAGGAACTAGAGGCTGTGTCGTCTGCCCCTAAACTCAATCCCAGCCTTGTTGGAGTGCCCCAGCCTTACCTTAGAAAACTAAACTACAGGCGAACAGACCACGAAGACAGCAGAGTAAAGAAGACTGCGTTTAGTATCAATGTGGCAAAACCAAGTCCTAACGCAGCTGAGGAGTCTAATGGACCAGTATATGCATTTGAAAAGCTGAAGGAATGTGAAGAGGCCCCATTTAGTGCTGCACACTTCAGGTTTTCAAGAGTTGAAGGAGACCGTTATGATTACAACACTGTGCCATTTAATGAAGATGACCCAATGAGCTGGACAGAGGATTACCTGAGTTGGTGGCCTAAGCCCATGGAATACCGTGCCTGCTACATCAAGGTTAAAATCAACAGTCCGCATGAAATCAATGTAAGGTCTCGTAACATGGGTGGCACCCATCCAAAGACAGTAGGCCAGCTGTACGGTCTCAGAGACACTCGCAGCATTCGTGATATGGAACAGGCAAATGTTTCAGCAGTGTGTCTGGAGTTCAAGTGCAGTGGCATGCTGTATGATCAGGACCGTGTGGATCGTACCCTGGTGAAGGTGATTCCTCAAGGTAGCTGTAAGAGAGACCATGTGAACACGATGCTTCAAGATTATCTGGTGAACCACCTACCTCTAGCTGTCAACAACGACACCAATGAGTTCACCATGCTGGCACCTCTCGACTCTCTTGGCCACAACTATGGAATCTACACAGAGACGGAACAAGATCCACGCACAGCAAAAGAGATTGCACTTGGGCGCTGCTTTGACGGCACTTCTGATGGCACGTCTAGGGTCATGAAAACCAACGAGGGTGTGGCGTTAAGCTTCAGCTGTGGAGATCGTGAAGTGACACGTCAGAGTATCTTTCAAGCTATGCAGAGCTCCCAAAGTCAGATAGTAACAAGTGTTGCGAGAGGAGACAACAGGAAAACCAGACGTCGACAAAGGGCCAACACACTCCGCAGGAGCGGGAAACGTAGCGCCAGAAATCCCACAGGAGGAAAAAGATAAATGACTCTGAAGTTCATGTCTGGAAATAAGACACTGAAGCAGTTTTTGATGTTTAAGTAATTTACCAAAACATATTCAAGTTGCAGTTATACTTTATAATAAAAGTGGTCAAAGATTTAAAACCTAAACCTTCAATATTGGTGTATCAACATCCAAATTGGACGAGTGATTTAGGAGTTATAGCTTTTCAAATATATAAAGCCCCCTTTCTAGGAGCTCACTTACAAATGTTCAATTACATTTGTCCAAATGTAATTGAACAAATTTGCATAAAACAAATAAACTTCAATTTTTAATACGCCGCCTGAAGTCTGAAACATTTCCCTGAACACTGTATGTCTTCAATGAAAGTAAATCAGCACTTTACTGTAGTATGTCGATCTTTGTGGCATCAGTTAATGAAATACAGCTGCAAATTTACACATTTACCAGTTTACAAATTTTCACCTGTTTACTTTTAAAGTTTCTGTGTTATTTTTGCAGTTTACTTTAGGACATTCTTCCATATAGTCAATCTCTTTGTAATCAACATTGTTGCACTTAGCTAAATCAAATTAGACATTATAAATTTCTGAGTGGCCCAATGGCATTTCAAAGTGTTTAACTCTCTTTATATACTCTACTTTTTATAGCCAAAGCACCAAGCAGCACATTCAACATATTCCAAAGAATCCATATAGTTTCTTTCTTCTTGCTCTTTTAGTTTCATCTAACCCAAGAGAGTTACTTAAAGACTCACCCAACTTGAAAGGCCGAATCTGGCAATAATAAATTAAAAACTTAAATGATCATTTTGATTTTTTGTTGGTGTGCAGAGAATTTGAGCAGTCAGTGTCACATGTGCAGTAGGTAGAGGTTTTGATCATCAAAAACAAGTTGGATTGTTCAGCCTTGGGGCAATTTCAAGATTTGAGTCATCTGAAAAATGCCATGTTTTAACAACTAACAATATGTTTCTTACCTAAGTTATTACAAGTTAATAGATACTTATGTAGCTTGTCAGTTAAAAGATTTACAGTACATTTACTTGAAACACCAAGAGCTAATACACTTTGATATCACCTTCCAGGGTTTACAACAACTGTACACTGGTTTAGATTCTCAGTCACCTAGAACATGCCAATCCTAAATACCGAAATAGAAAACCACTTGATTTTTTTTTCTTATTTTTTTAAAGATAACACACCTCTCATCCAACAGGTTTCTTCAATTCTGGAAAACTGATACAACAGTAATCTAATTGCAAATGTTCAAGTAGTTCCTGCAAATAAGAATTTCTTCCCTCAGAGATTCTCATTGGTCAAGTTAACACATTTCCTTGTATTTGTTTTGTTAAACATAACTGGAACAAATCACAAGGTACTTTTATGCAAGTACACAATCAAAGCAAAATTGACACTTTTATGCAAATAAACATTCAAAACAGCAGTGCGAGTGCATCAGTATTTTAAAAACAGGCTATGCATTACTGGATTTATTTAAATGCATCAAATCTGATTTGAGATTGACATTACACTAGCCGTTATCAAGTTTAGCTACTTACCATACCTAAACTGCTGATTGCTCATTATCCCTTTTAAGTTTTAATTTTAATGTTACTGTTGTGTATATTTGTCTTTTTTCTAAATTGGGAATCTTATGATGAAAATCCAACATGTTTTGCAGCCATCCTGGATTGGTTTTAAGAGCCATCAACAATCTCAGGCTCAGTTGGCCCAATCGTTCACTGGGCATGAGCTCGTTTTTGTACCTGCCAATTTTTTTTTTCTGTTACTAACCACAAGCATATCCAGTTTGTCAAACGTTTCAGCTTTAGCTGAATATTTTGGCAACCTGGGAAGCCCTGAACGGTTTTTTTTTAATCACTACTGTCAAATGTGACAACATTGTACAACAGGTAGGTGCCAATCACACTCTTATTGACGTCAGATTTTGTTCATCAAATATGAATGGACATTTCTTTCAGGTTCTGTTTATGCACATTAAGAATGACCAACACACAATTTGCTCTCCTGACCAGTCATTTATTAAATTAAGATGCTTAAAAAACAGATGTCATATTTTCAAAATTGCATGTATCGAATCGTCTGTGTAAGATTGGAACTGGTCATGAGCTAGAGCAGAAAAAGGAGAAAGATGCCCCTTTCAACGAACTGAAGCCCATAAGACATGTGGAGCCCATGAGCCTCCGCTCCTCATCAGAATTGACAAGCCTGCAGAAGCAACAATTAGAGACCAGTTGCAGCAAGTTACTCCATTTGCCTGATTTGTTGGTTTTCTGCATTAGTAAAACTCAAATTAGTAAGTTACATTTCTGTCATGCAAAAGAAAATACTTTTAAGCATCGTTTGCTCCATATTTTCAAGGATATTCCAGAGATGTATCGAGAATGGCTGTGAGGTTTTAAAGTCACATTTATTATTCTCTATCCCTTTTATCATATATTGAATGTCATGTGCACTCTGTAAAATTACCACTACTCATATGTTGTGCCGTTCTCAAATAACCCACAATGCAACTGTTCCAGAGATGAATAATAAACTGAATAATTGTTCTGCATTTGGCAACCCAAGAGATATTAACTATATACATTTTTCCTGTAAAAGATCTAACCACACTTCAGTGCGATCTATAATACATGACATTCTGGTTTAGGAATTTGCATAGAACCTTGTTTCTATGTCACTTTACTTACAACTGCTGTACTGCCATTTTAACAGGAGCAACATTTATTTAAAAAAAAAAAAAAAGCCCTGCAAAAATCAGGCAGCAGCAGTTACAGATGTATTCTTCTTTGAAGCTGGGTCACACAACAGATTCCACATGATCGTGTGCGAGTTGAGGCTGAATGAGACGGAAAAGGCCATTCTGTACATTAAGAGTGCTGAGACTGGATGCTCCCAGGTATAGTCCCTCTGGTAACTGAAGCAAAAATGAAAGGGGCGGCACATAGTTCAGATTTCCCAGGATGGCACTGGACAGCATGGGAAGGTACAGCTGTACTTTTGATGGTTAAGAAGGAGGGGAGGAAAGTAGTAAAGGAGCCTATGTCACATGAAGTCCTCGTAGTCCTGGGCATAACCGCCGTCAAACTCTGCATAGTCAAGGTCGTCTCTCATCTGTGCTTTCAGTCCACCTCCAGGTACAACCCCTTTCTTCTTCTTCTTTCCTTTGTTTTGCTGAGAAGAAAAAAAATATATGACTTAAATTATATGGAACATTTTTAGAAAGTCTTCCAACTACACTTTACATGAGAACTAAACTAAACAATGACACATCATAAAGAATATTAAAATTTAGACTGCGTATAAACAATCAAAATACAACATATTCCCATTAACTGTATGAACACGACGCACCAAACTGGAGTAGATTAACAGCACCCCCTGCTGCCTAAAGCTTTATTCAAATTCAAAAGAAAAACATAAAACTTACCTTTTCTTGTTTCTGTTTTTCACTAAGTAGGACTGAAAGTGAACTACTGATTTTCTTCAAGTCATCTACTTCCACTGTAAAAACAAAAGAAAACAATAACTCTAGAGTTTGATTTTTTTTTTAAAGAAAGGCACCAATATTCATTTAATGATACTGTTGGAAATATTGATAAAGTTGTTTTCTTACATGAAATACAAAGTTCCCGAAACAATGAATCCAAGAAACTTGAATAATGGACTGATTTTTCAAACTGAGTTATCTTTTCTTTCAGCAATTTTTCAAATTCTGTGAATTCTTCTTTGGAGGATGGACACATGGCATCAATTCCTGCGACAGTATTAACACCTACAAAAACAAGAACAAGGTTTTAAAATGTATGAAGTCAAAGAGTAAAAGTGCTATTACAGTACAGCACATATTAATTAAATGTGCACCAACATATCATTAGATACCCACATTTAAGAGGATTTTGGGTGCTCAAGCTCAAGTCATCCTTAAAAACATTCAGAAAGCAGTAAGAAGTTAAATCCCAGAATATGGGGTCATCTCCTACCAAAAGCATCTTTTGCTAGCTCCAAGTCTGCATCTTCCTGTAGTTTCTTGACTCTTAACTTCTCTGTGAGTTGTTCCTCTGGAGTAGGTTCTTCAGGCTAGAATAACACAAACCAAACGTAAAGTCATATTTAAAAAAAGGCAAAAAATAAAAATAAAAATGTCCCTTTCATTTGTTGTGCAATGACACTTACTTTCTCCTCCATCTCCCTTTTCAGTTCTTGTTGTTTCTTCCTTAGCTGATTTTCCTTCTCTTTAATCTTTTCAGTCAACCTTTTCTTTTCAGAAACTTTTGTTTCTGGGAAAAATTGCATGTGTAACATTTAGTTTTGAAAACAAAGTTGAAAGTTAAAATTAAAAGGACACATATAATGTTCAACAATCATACAAATTTAAAACCTTACCTGTCTTCTTCACCTCTACTTTTTTCTCCTCTTCATCTTCATCATCCCAGTTATCCTGTAGACAAATAAAAATTACATTGTTAAAAAGATTGTTTTTTTTTTTAAATAAGGTCATAATAACTTTCTTGATAAAGGCATTGGTGTAAAGTCAACAATTCATTCAGAACATCAAATGGAACAAATTTGAAGATTATATAATTACAAATTTCTATGGGATATGGCATCCTTTGTTGAATCATACCAGACTCTCTGTTTAAATTGTTAATAGATAAATGTCAAGGAGAAAGTAAAATTTAAGTCAAAAATAATGTTCTTTGCTTCTATCTACTTTAATGTCCACTTCACTTTCCATTTATGCAAAATTTTATTGTACCAAATACAAAATAAAACTCTTGAAATTATGAGACAGATTGATTAAATAAATTAAACTAATTATTTATCAATCAATGAGGTTGTCTTACTTTAAAGATAATGCACATGATCTCTCAGATACTACTATAGGGATGACTACTGTAGACAAATGTTTTTCTCTTTACACCGTAATCTGTATTCTAAACCTAGAAAATACTACAAGCCAAAAAAGACAACCTGGAAACCCTGACGCCATATGTGACCGACAACAATTGACTCTGCCAGCTCTTTCCTAACGAAGTTTCTGGAAAGAAAACAAGCCAACATTACTGCAAGGACCAACTGTAATCCTCTGTGTCTGCAACTTAACATCGGCTTATATCTTTATAAAACCAAAAAGCTCCCCGTTGTTTCGTAAAGTTTTGGCCTAGTTCTTACTTCAGTTGAGTCATCAACCCACTGGATGATTTCCTCTGAGGCTAGAGTTTGTTAGCAAGCTAGCGATGCCGCATGCTGAACGTGACTCAAGCTGGAGGAATTCAAACTGAACCGGACACCTTCCTCCAAATATGTAATGTAAATACATTAGCCAAAATAAGAAACTTTTGTCACCTCTCACTAAACATTTTAAAAACACGACAAAACTCGGACTGTCAAAAGTTGAATCTCACTTTTAAAAGCAAGCGAACTTAGTAATAAGCAGAATGCTAATAGCTAATTGGCCCGTTAAAATGCTAGCTTGTAGCTAAGCAATTGAAATTTACCCAAAGAGTTTCATCACTATAAGGAACTCCCACACAAAAATTGTATTTTTAATCCTATGTGACCAGTTGATATGTTAACAGCAGGCGTATAAGCAGTATGTTTTAACTCGAACAGTGGCCTCTGGCTAGCCGAGTAACAGGCTGTCTTTTAGAGCCACATGAGTTAGCCGTCAGCTAGCACAAAGCTAACCCGAGGTTCGGGTTGACAGGGAGAAAGGAGCCGCGCAGAAGCATGGCGTAACAGCCGGGAAGATAATATTTCAATTAATCGACAAATAACCCGGAATTCCACACCAAATACTCCCCAATCCAACTTCGCAAATGTAACGAAACCCAAAACGACATACACGAATCATGTTAAATTACCTTAACGTCTTCATCTTCGTCCTCGCCTTCCCATTTGTCCAGCACTGCCGCCTTTTTAATCGGCTCCTCCGGCTCGAAGTTGTCAGCGTCTGTAAAGCCAACAACATAATATTCGTCAGGCCAATCCACATCTAACGACGGAGTTTTACAACAGCAGAATGTTGGGCTGTCTAAACAAAGTCTGCTAAAAGCGAATGATGTACATATAGATGTCCTTCCTAAGTTAGTTTCTCACCCCAGTCCGCCATGTCGGCTGTGTTGGTTGTGTTTGACAGGCTCGCAGTAAAGTCAGCGCTGCAGCCCGTTGGCTGGCCACACTCAGAAACTGCTCCCACGTTCTGGACGTCACTCCCGGATTATCTTCCGTCACCACTTCCCCAGTGCGCTACCCTTCACTACCTGAAACGACACAGACCTGGTAGGCACGGATAACATGAAATCCACCCCGCTTCGTCATATTAGTGAAAAAAAATAAATAAATAAATTATGGAACGGATCTCATAGTTACTATTGAGACCGCCTTAAACATTTGGGTTATCATTTCGATTTGAGCTCAAAAATAAGACAATAGTAAAACATAATCCCCTCTAAAACAGTTTTATATATATATATATATATATATATATATATATATATATATATATAAA